AATCTTTAGTGCAATTTGAGGTACATGTATTTAATTAAAGAGTCACAAGTGTCTGCTTTTCCAAATTACATGAGAAACCATACTATTACTTATTAATAACATACATAAAAAATTATACCACAGTAAGCCCAACATGCAAGATACGATTTTCCAAACTTTCCTACATGTTTTTTTTATATTTTTGCCTCCTTCACTCCTGGCGAACAGCCATATTTGAGATCAGTGAGTTGACCACCCTTATTATACTATATATATATATATATATATATATATATATATATATATATATATATATATATATATATATATATATATATATATATATTGTCTTAATACTTTATGTGGAGTTTTTATACTTCATCTGTTAAAAAGGCGAGGGGTTGCTGCATGCATGTATTTTCTAGTTTATAAAAAAAAATTGAATTTAACTGAAGAAAATTCATAAATGATAAAACGACAGTGCACAGATTGGGAAAATGGGGTATATTGTCCCTTCTGCCCTTTTCTAAGTATAAAAGCTCATGCAATCCCCCTCCCTCTCTCCCCTCTATTAGTAACTCCAGACGAAGGGCCTTCGTTCCAAACGTCGAAATTCTCCTTATATTTTTAGGCAGTTGCACCACTACCAACGAAATCTTGTTGTAAAATCATTACATGCTTGCCGCATGAGCCTAAAATCGCGAATTAAAAATACGGCTTTTCAAGGGGAAATGTATGATTATTTCAGCCGCAGACGTCGATTTGACTGGGAAATCGCTAATTTTGGTGGTTTCGAGAAACTTTTACTGCTACATTTTTAAAACATTTTGTCGACTAGGGGAAGTATAATTCATTAATCCTAACCCTTGTCAACTTTATTTTCACACAATAACATTACCAAATAGTAACATAAATCTACGTAATAAAGTTTTACCTACTGTATTGCAACATTATAATATTTTAGGAGATTTACATGGAAAGTCACCTGTTGACTTCATTTACGTTCATTTTGTAAGAAGAAATAGTGGTTTCATGTTTTAATTGATTATCAATGACTAACATTAATTAATTAATTCATATTTGCGAAAGGTTACGAAAAAACTTTACCAAAGCCTGCAGCACCAAGATTGGGTGAAGCTGGATGGCAAACGATACAATTACGGTTCGATACGACAGAATTAGACGGACACAGGGATCTTCGTTATATCTTGGAAGTCGAGCCACAATGGGGTCCCCAAGAGAGGAATAATGTTTTTGTTGTGTTTCCTTACACAATAAAATACCATTATGTAAGTGGATTTTGATTTCTTATCCGTCCTTAAGAAAGTCAAAATTTATATTGCGATCGCAGTATCAGGCATTCGATTTCTTCTTTCGGCTCTTAAAAAAAATAGATTGAATGAAATGTATTATCAAAGCGTGGTTATGCCCACACCAAGTCATATCTTGATAATGCATTTTACCCACTATAGACCAACCAAACAACATATTATGTTGAAGATCTTGAACCGAATACTGGTTATAAATTCCGAGTAATGGCTAAAAAGCTGAATGAATCGTCACCATACAGCAACTGGACTGATGTTATTTTCACAACAAGTAAGTGCAAAACTGACCATTTTTAAAATTTTTTAAAGCCATGATTATCTAGCGGAAAAATAGAAAATATAATGTTCCTTTGTGACTGAAGAGAATTGAACAACATATATATGCCATATGCCTTTATTAATTTTTAAAACGTCTCATCTTTTACAGTTTTGCAAGAGTGACAATACCATGATAGATATCTTATATACACTAGATAGCGCATCTCGTTTAGCAAAATTGAAGCCAAGAATATTCCAGTGGTTACCCCCATTTGAATAGATGGCGGCCATGTTGGAGTTTCTCACTCGCTAACAAACGCTTTAAAAACGACAATAACTTTCATCATTTGAATAGTTTGAAAATGTATTTGGAATAGGTTTAACTAATGTTTAAGTTCTCTGTTTTAGTCACTAAGAGCGACTAAAGGCTACACAAGCGTTCTGTCGTTATCGGAAAATGTATGGCTTATAAGTTGTCATTACTCATTAGTGAATGCGCATATACATGAAACTGTTTTTTACAGTTTCAATATTAGTTTGTAAATCTCTGAATGGTAAAACTTGCCAATACTCCAATAATACGTTTCAAAAAAAGACAAAAAAGCTTTAGTTTTGCAGAGTTAACTATACAGAGTGTATAAAAAAAAACTTAACAGATTTGAAACTGCTCTCAATTTCGCAAAACACCTATTGGTATCCGTTTTTTTGTATATATAGCTTCTTTGGGTACTTATAATGTAGAATAATGAAAAAAATTTCTCAAACTCAAATTTTGTGAACGGGGGGGGGGGGGGTG